TTTTTTAACATTTTTATGCCTTATTATACTATGACATTTTTATGCCTTACTATACTATGACATTTTTTTGACATTTTTATGCCTTATTATACTATGAAATTTTCATTCCTTACTTTACTATTACGTTTTTTCACATTTTATGCCTTACTATTCTAGGACATTTTTTTCACATTTTTATTCCTTACTATACTTTTACGTTTTTTGACATTTTTATGTCTTACTATACTATTATGTTTTTTGACATTTTTATGTCTTACTATACTTTTACGTTTTTTGACATTTTTATGCCTTACTATACTGTTCTTTTTTGACATTTTTATGTCTTACTGTACTGTTATGTTTTTTTTATGTTTTTTTGCCTTTCTATACTATGACGTTTTTACACATTTTTATGCCTTATTATAGTATGACATTTTTTTCACATTTTTATGCCTTACTATACTATGAAGGTTTTTGACATTTTTATGCCTCACTATACTATGACATTTTTTTGCCTTATTATACTATGACATTTTTATGCCTTACTATACTATGACATTTTTTTCACATTTTTATGCCTTACTATACTATGACGTTTTTTCACATTTTTATGCCTTATTATAGTATGACATCTTTTTCACATTTTTATGCCTTGCTATACTATGAAGGTTTTTGACATTTTTATGCCTCACTATCCTATGACATTTTTTTGCCTTATTATACTATGACATCTTTTTCACTTTTTTATGCCTTGCTATACTATGAAGGTTTTTGACATTTTTACGCCTCACTATACTATGACATTTTTTTGCCTTATTATACTATGACATCTTTTTCACTTTTTTATGCCTTGCTATACTATGAAGGTTTTTGACATTTTTACGCCTCACTATACTATGACATTTTTTTGCCTTATTATACTATGACATCTTTTTCACTTTTTTATGCCTTGCTATACTATGAAGGTTTTTGACATTTTTACGCCTCACTATACTATGACATTTTTTTGCCTTATTATACTATGACATCTTTTTCACTTTTTTATGCCTTGCTATACTATGAAGGTTTTTGACATTTTTACGCCTCACTATACTATGACATTTTTTTGCCTTATTATACTATGACATCTTTTTCACTTTTTTATGCCTTGCTATACTATGAAGGTTTTTGACATTTTTACGCCTCACTATACTATGACATTTTTTTGCCTTATTATACTATGACATTTTTATGCCTTATTATAGTATGACATTTTTTTCACATTTTTATGTCTTAATGTACTGTTACGTTTTTTGACATTTTTATGTCTTAATGTACTGTTACGTTTTTTGACATTTTTATGTCTTACTATACTATTACGTTTTTTGACATTTTTATGTCTCACTATACTGTTACATTTTTTGACATTTTTATGTTTTACTATACTATTACGTTTTTTCACATTTTCATGCCTTATTATACTATGACATTTTAATGCCTTACTATACTATGAGGGTGTAGCTAATTGATGGGTTAGAGAATTAAACCTTTTATTTTAATTCAATTTTACATCAAAAACAAAACAGCTTTCGAATCAACTTTTCACTGCTGCTCAAATTGTTTTCATGTTGTAGTTACAGATGATAAACATTAATAGGGTTGTTTTTAAAAACATGTCTCAAATGAATCTTTCACTTATTTTAAACTTTAGTTTGTTGTCAAAATCTTACCCAATCAGTTGCATTGAGCAATCAGTTCAGCTGATTTCAGCAACTCTCAGGTAGAAAGTGAATAAACATTTTCTTTTTTTTTGTCAGTTAGTTTAACAGTGTGAGAACCGAGTGGCTGCGTCCGTCTCACTGCTCACAGCTTTCTGCTGACAGCTCTGTTATACAGCGGATACACACTGCACACCAGGGAGGAAACACACACATTGGGGAAGGTGTATGTGTCTCTATGTGAGTGTGTGTGTGTGTGCACATGCTAATTTATGACTTTGTTTTAGTCATGACATTTGTGTGTTTTGTGTGTTTTTGCACGCTGCTGCTGCGACAGGAAATGGCCTCTACGTAAAAGCCTATTCTTCTCTGGCCGGTTTCCTTTCCTTCCAGGATGGACTCTGAAATTTGGACGAGCGGAGGGTGTGTGTGTGTGTGTGTGTGTGTCTGTGTGTGTGTGTGTGTGTGTCTGTGTGTGTGTGTGTGTGTGTCTGTGTGTGTGTGTGTGTGTGTCTGTGTGTGTGTGTGTGTGTGTCTGTGTGTGTGTGTGTGTGTGTCTGTGTGTGTGTGTGTGTGTGTTGAGGTGGAGGTGAACAGTAAATCCCCCTCTCCTCCCCAGCGTCCAGCAGACCTCTTCCTCTGCGATCTCGAGGGGAGAGAAACTTCTGAAGCCAGACAAATGCCAACTGGGCCGACTGAGAGCATGGAGGAGAGGTGGATTCTGGGTAAAAAATGAAAAAGGCCTCTTCCTTTCTTTAATGGGATTCACGTGAGGATGTCGGACCTGGCCGAGCTCTTTGTTCTCTGTCTACAGGGCGCTGCCACTGACTTTCGCCCTTGATGACGCTGGTTGGTGTTTCAACCACTGCAGCTCAACAAGACTAAACCTGTTGTTTCTGATGCTCTGCTCCACGTTCATGACTCCACCTGACTGACTGAGAGGTTACATGTGTGTCAGTGTGTTTTAGATCAATCAATATAAAAACAGACAGACAGTTTCTTCCTCTTATAATCTCTGTACAACTCATGTTTTGGTGAAGTTCAGTTTCTCCACATATGTGTTGCTCAATTTAAATGGATATGTGCATAAACAAACATATAAATAAATTGAGAATACTAATTATTGTGATTAATTTCTAATATGCAGAATAAAAAAACATTCTTTCAGCAGCACATGTAAAAACATTCATACTTCATTCATTCCCCTCTGTATTATTCATCCAATATACTGTCATTTTAAAACTCAAACCAAAACAACGTGTCAGTTCATCTCTAAATACTTTCTAATTTTCCTTATTTCCTAAAGCAGCAGGACACTACTTAGATTTTAGCGAACGTTACTCAAACAGGAGGAAATAGTGCATTTTTGTTGGGGACTATTTTCAGTAGCGGATAAATCCACATTTGGTGTTCTGGTGAGTATTTTGGGGCGGCAGGATGAAGTGTGTGTGTCAACAGTGCTCACAAATGTGTTTCAGTAGTTTTTGGAAACAATGGAGCTCTAAGGAAGAAGGTATCACACACACAGTAACTGATGTGTGCACAAGCAGCGTGATGTGTGTCTGACACACTGCGTCCCGCTCCGAGCTGCTGCTTTTAGTCCGAGCTGTTTTTCTTTCCTCGGCTCAGTAAAAGTGATTTTCGGGTCATTTGTAAGTGACAGAGCGGCGTGTCAGGGAGGTGTTAGGTTACACTACAAACACATCACAGCTTACTTTGGCTGCACTCAACCCCCCCCCACCCCCCCCCACCCCACCCCACCCTCCTCACCCCCCAGAGCACAAAAGAAGTCCACCCCCCCTCCCTCCTACTCTCCTGGTTTCAATATGAATTCTATATTGTGATATTTAAGAAAAGAAAAAAGTCAGACGGGGGGGGGGGGGGGGGGGATTACTGTCTGTGACACATGAGCACCTGAATAAACTTGCTGCTTTTTGGCTTCACAGTCATCCGTCAACTACTTATACACCCCCCCAGTACACACACACACATGCACACGCACACACACACACATGCACGTGCACACGCACACACACACACACGCACATGCACACACACAAACACACACATGCACACACACAAACACACACACGCACACACACACACACCCCTTCACCTCCACCCGACTCCAGCCTTCAGGCAGTCTGAGTAAGTCATCACACAGGAGGCCGAAAAAACAGAGAGGCTGCTGGGAAAATGTAACGGAAGCTGGTCTGTGTGTGTGTGNGGGGGGGCTCTTACTCTCTAATGGACTTCACTTCAGATTAATCTGAACGCCTGCAGGGGGGAAACTTAATTACCCCGCCACTAACTGTAAGCACATGTTGAAATGAATGTGATCACACGTTTTAGACGGAAGTAAATTAGATTTAAACGAGAGCCAGCGGCGGCATGCTCGCCTTAATGTTCACGCTATAGTGGAAAATGTAAATAAGAAGACATTAAAAAATCATCAGGCAGATTTAGAGAAATCATTAACGCTGTGTAAATGGAGACATTTGTCACTTCAGCTTGGAGTAAAGTTATAATTTGCCGCAGAACTTCAGTCATGAGTTTGAGTCTTGCGGCGCAAATTTAATTCATTTAAATGAACTCAATTTTAAGTTTGTTATAAAAAGACACTATCAACTTGTTAGCATTCTTCCCAGCATGCATTGTGTTTGGGTTCTCTAAATATACCCTCCAGGAACTCCTTTTTCTTCTCTTGTGAATTTACTTACATGATGGAGCTTTATTTTGCCTTGTTTTTGTATTTCTTTTTTCTTTAATGCAAATAAAGCATGGTACCACTTCACAATAAGACTTCCCTTATAAAGGATTTATAAATGGCTTATAACTAATTTATTAATTAGCTTGTTAACACTTTATAAGTCATTAAGCTGTTATAACACATTAGATCAAATGTGCAACAGAGACCTGTTGCTTGCCAAATAGTGAGCCTACGTTTATCTGTACGGTTAAACCTCATATCTCCTTAGTTACTGAGCTCTCTTTGTTTTTTCCATCATCAGCATTTGTACCTGTAAAATTATTAATAACTGATAAAAGGAGCCTTAGCAAATTAAAAACCATTTATAAATCCTTTATAAGAGTCTTATTTTAAAGTGTTACCCCAAATGTAAATGTGTTTAAGACTAGATTGAAGATTGAACAACATCAACTGATTACGACTCACAGTGAACTCACAGTTTGAAGGTACCAGGGAAGAAATAATGATTATTGATCACTGTGAATGTTTCACGACTCACCTGCACCTCTGGGGAAGCCGAGGAAAGCTCGATGGAGTCTCCAAACGCAGCCATGGACAGTCGGACCAGGTTTCGAAGCATCTGCCGGTGTTCTGCGTCTTGGCCGCCTCGTCCCTCCGAGGTCTTCGGCCTCCTGAGAGTTGCCTGGGATCCGGAACATGCAGGCTCCTCCCCTTCCCCCTCTGGGTGACCCTGGCGCTTTAAGGTACTCGAATGTGAAAGCGAAGAGGACGACGACGGGTTCCTGGCTTTCCGAAGAGTCCGGTAAGACGTGGCGGGAGTCAGAGGCAAGGAGCCGTCAAGTTCAATGTTCCCGGGTTTCCGAAGGGTTCTGCAGTGATGGGTGACAGTTTGAGCGGGATCACCCTCTGGGTAACCTTGAGAATGGAAGCTCGTGTTCATGGCTGATTGAGTTAAGGTGTATTGTCTCTCAGTTTGTACATCCTCTGACATTATTGGAGGCGGAGCCAGTGGCTGAGATTCACTCTCGTCCTCAGAAAGCTCCTCCTTTCGTCCCCGGATGACGGGAATCAGCTGAATGTCTGACTTTCTGATGTTCTTCTGTGGGCGCCGGGGATGGCGGGTGTAGGTCGATTCAGCCTGTCTGCAGTTGTAAGCCCGGTTGTCCCGTTTCTCGGGGCGGCAGAACGTCGTCACCAAAGCGATGGCCAACAGAAGTAGCAGGCACGTAGCGCCCAGGCAGATCGCCATCATCATGGTGAAGCTCAGCTGACCGCGGTTCCCAGGTGATGAGTTCTTCAGATGGTCCTTGAGGTTGATGAAACTCACCTCCAGGGTTACCTCGGTGACCAGGCTGGGCGTGCCCATGTCAGATACAGCGACGTCCACCTTAAAGGTTTTCCCGATGAGCTCAGTAGCATTGGTGGTGTTAACAAACAGCTGGCCTGTAGCCTCGTCCAACCAGAAGAGTCCGTCGGGGTTTCCATCAGTAATCAGGTATTTCAGCTCTCCATTGGGCCCCGAGTCCGGGTCTTCAGCCTTTATGGTGGAAGCGAGGAACCCAACGAGTCCGTCTCTGATCGGGTGATTCATGGGAAGAGCGGTCGATGCCTCCTCCATGTCGTTCCCCAGCTCGGTCACAATCTCCCCCTTCTCTGCATCAACGGGTACGCTCAAAGAGGCCACACCCTTCCTGGGTTTCGGATCCTTGATGACCGGGTAGTTGTCATTCACATCCTCGACGTCAACCTGGACGGTCGCGGTGCTGGTGAGGGGCGGGTGACCGTGGTCGACGGCCTCCACGATAAAGGAGTAGGTGCGCGATTCCTCGTAGTCCAAAGGGCGCCGGATGCTTATGACACCACTAGTTGGATGGATGGAAAAAGACTGTGTGTCAGTTTCCATGTCATTGGAGTTGGGTATGAAGTAGGAAACTCTTCCACTGAGCTCCAGGTCAACGTCGTGGGCTTCCACTTTGAGAGCGTGGTAGCCCGCGACATTGTTCTCCTTGAAGGAAGTCTTATAGAGGGAGGTGGAGAACACTGGGGCATTGTCATTCTCATCCAGAACATGGACAGGTAGGTGTTTAATACAAGACAGCGGAGGATCTCCATAATCCTGGGCCAGGACCGTGATGTTATACTGCATAACCTTCTCTCTGTCCAGGCTGCCGTTGGTTACGATCATGTAATTGTCACCGTGGATCCGTTTGAGGCGGAAAGGGCCGGATCCGTGCTGAATGTGCGCTCTCACTTTGCCGTTTTCTCCTGAATCTGCATCGGAGACCATCACCAGAGCCAGAAACGTGTCCTCCTGCGCTCCCTCCAGCACAGTCGCCACAGGTGAGTTGGGCGGAGTCCAGGTCATGTGTATCCGCGGCGCGTTGTCGTTAACGTCTTTGAGCTTGACGTGCAGTTTGCAGTGCGAGGGGATGGCGTTGGGCCCGCGATCTCGGGCCTGTACGATCACTTCATAAGAGGAGTGGGCCTCAAAGTCCAGGGGCGCTCTGAGACTCACGGCTCCATTTTGTGGATCCACGTAGAAGAGCCTCTGAACCTCTGGACGTGTGTGCTTACTGAGCGAATACTCCACCTCCCCATTGGCTCCCTGGTCGGGGTCCGTGGCCTTGAGGTTGATGATGGTTGTCCCCCGGGTTGTGTCCTCAGGTAGCTCCACGGTGGGACTGCTGTCCTCAAACGTTGGGCTGTTATCGTTCGAGTCCTGAATGTTAACCCGGACTAATGTGCTCCCAGATCTGGGGGGGTTCCCTTTATCCCATGCCACCAGGGTGAGGTTGAAGGAGGTCTGAAGCTCCCGATCCAGTTCTTTAATAACCACCAGCTCTGCCTGTTTTGTCCCATCTGGACCCACGGTCACATCCAGGGCGAAGTGTTGATTGACGGACAGCGAGTAAGTCTGGAGGCTGTTGGGCCCCGCGTCCGGATCCACCGCCCGGTCTAGAGGGATTCTCATTCTGAGGCTGGCTGTCTCAGAGATCTCCACCTCCTGCAGAGGACCGGGGAAGCTGGGACTGTGGTCGTTCAGGTCCATCACTTCCACACGAACCCTCAGGCAGTTCACAGCGCCGCTTTTCCTGTAGAGGACGCTGAAGGCCACCTCGCACAGGTCTGACCCTCGGCACAGCTCCTCCCTATCCAGCCGGCCTTGGGTGGAGACGACCCCATTTCGAGTGCTGACGGAGAAGGGAAGGGCCTTCCCGTGTTCCACCACCTGGAAATCCTCCAGAGGACCACCTTCGTCCCTCTGACGCAGGTCGTCCACCAGCCGGCCGACCTGAGTTCCCGCCGGCTGCTCCTCCCAAACCCGGTACTGGATAGTTATTGATGACGGCTCGGAGGATCGAGCCTCGGAGCAAAGACTCAGAACCAGGAGCAGAGCCAGCAGCATCATGAAGTGAAGTAAAAATAATCTCCTGTCGACTGTCTAAACTGACATTTCTAAAAATCACTGCTCAGTAATATGAAGAAAAATATGAACTTTAAAATTTAAAATAACTTTAAAACTGTGTTGTTGAAATAAAAAAGTCTGTGTGTTAAACATCAGATAAAACGTTCCAGTTTTTCTTCAAAATAATTTAGTTTCTTCTTTAAAAAACAAACAACCACGACCAAACGAGTAAATACAACTGTTTGTAAAGCAAATACCTCGAGAAAAAAAACCTTCAGTTTGGTCAGGATACAATTATAGAAGCCTATAATTAAGATATCATCCTCTCTCTCTCTTCACACACTCAGCCTCTCTCTGCCTGGTGCTGTTACTCACTCACGCTGCTGCTGGCGTCCAGCCGCTCAGTTCCTCCTCCTCCGCTCAGGACAGTTCAGCTCCAACTGAGAAAGTTTGGATGTGGGTTTCCACATGCCGGCGGAGCCGCGGCCAATCCGGAGGGAGGAGGAGGGTTATATGCAAATAAATCCAGACTCAACACAAAGAAAAACCCCTCCTGCCCTGAGGAAACCCAGCACAACTCTGGAGTGCTTTTAAAGAAATATGACACCACCTCTCTGTCACTTATAGCTCCCCCACCCACCCCCCCTTTTAAACTGCATAAACTCATCACAAACTGCAGTAACGGACCTTAAATCATGTGGAAAATTTGTGTCAGGTTAAATCCCAGTGGGACTAAAGGCCACAGCAGGAGCTCCACGGCCATGACGTACAGTCTGGGGCCTGACAGCCAAAACACAAACATATGAAGATGTGAAGATGGCCGTCATCATAAATACGCCGACAGCTTCAGAGCTGTCAGTCCTCAGTGATACTGTCGAAGCCTTTTGTTCAAAGTGCAAAGAATAAATTATTATTGTCGTGTTCTTTACGTCCTGGACGTTCGACACAAAGACGGCTTTCTGTTCTTTCTCCTTGGAAATGAACGAGATGAGACGGTTGTTCTCAGGAGGGAAAAACAGTCCTTGAAGACTCGACCAGCTATGACATGAATGCTCAAAATTCAACCGCCTGTCCTCAATGTGACGAAACCCACATTCCACACACTTTTCCCTCCAAATATAATTATGAGGAGTCAGAGTTCGACCGCAGGCCACAGAGGTCAAAACATCTCCAGCCAATCGGGGCGGGAGCTCGTGTCGCTCGTTTCTTTGCAGCTGAAGGTTCATTAGTGAAAAGATCTGTGAATCAAGTTTGAATCAAATCCTGGATCATGTGGATTAAACATTTATTTGCAATAAAGATTTGACTTTAAAAAAAAGAGAAGATGAGCTTTAGTTTGTGCTGTGATTGACTCGTGACAGAGGTGGTTTGAAGATGTCAAAGGTCTGACTGTGAGACGGTGTTTCAGGGACACACACTGTAAACTGTCTACACTACTTCAGTCTCTGTTTGGAAACCAGTTGGCATTCACAGCTGCACATCCACTGACAAGAGCTAAATGTTTTCCCAGCATGCACAGGGCTTCTTTTTCATTCAGTCCCCAGAATATCCCGCAGGCCGAGAGAGAATCGGGCTGATGAAGCGTATCACTTTCCTGTCAGCTCGGAGCGCAGTCAAACACGGGATCCAGTCGCCGTTCTAACGATTTTATTTTCCTAGGTCAGCGGTTCACATGATGGATGGATGATTAGATCAAACACATAAAGACTAAATAAATGCAGTTATATCAACTTCAAATGTTAAACTACAGTAAATGAAGCAGACGTTCCACTTTATTCATGCATCCACCATCTCTTCACTCTGGTGTCAAACATCTGATTCAGTCTAATGACACGATACAAATAAACATTCAAGACAATAAAAGGCTGATCAATCAACTGCTGTAATGTTCACCAAAATAAAATAACAAGGTCCATATTACGAGTCCAACACGCTGGTTCTCGGTTCTCTTTGTTCTCCCGGTTTGAAGGGAAATGGCTCCCACACAGGTGGGTGCAGTTATACAACCTCTGGGCGTGGTTATTGGAGTCATAGGTGATTTGCAGGCAGGTATTTACAGGTATGACACTCAGTGATTTGTAAGATGTATTTACAGTTTGTGATCAAATCTCAGACTTTTAATGTTTTTAAAAGAGTTGCATTAAAGTAAAAATGAGCCACGTGTCATCTACAAAGAACCAACAGCAAAATATGATCAATATTAACAGGAAACATCCAATAAATCAGCTGAAACAGAAACAGCGAGGCAGCGGACAATAACAACAAACACAATAAAATGACACGTTACAAGTTGCAAAAACAGTTTTACATGTGTAAATGAACATTTGTGTCAGAGAAAGTAATCCAGTCAGCGTTTCATTTCCTTCACACTTATTGTTTAAAACTATTTCTGCATAAAACATCAACTTTAACTAACAACAAAACTCCTGCAGCAGAGAAACGACTGACTTTCATTTCACTGCTCCACCAGAGCTGAGACCAGAAACCCTGTTAATCAGTGCTTTTTAAATATATATAAAACACAAATATATATATAACATTTAAAACATGCTTCATAAATATATATAAAACATCACAAAGACAGTTCCGTCAGAAAAAGCAGCTGTTACAGACGAAGTTATTAAAACAAGTGAGTGAAGAGAGTTTGTGTTTCAGAGTCGACCAATCCCGTGATCTGATGTCATCGTTGTTTACAAAACAACAATTACACACGAATATAAACAAAGTAAATCCTACAGGGAAATATTCAAAATAACCTTTAACTTCATGTGCCGCCTGCGATCGTCTGTTCAGGCAGAGCAGAGGTCGGCCAATCAGATTAGACTATCACCAAAACAAACACCATCAACCTCCTGTCTGCGGCCAATCAACTGGCACTCTGTGTGTGTGTGTGTGTAAATTGTAGAAGGAAAATGCTTTTGCAGACACACACATGCACACGTCTGCTTCAAATTAATTTACCACCTGTGTGTGTGTGTGTGTGTGTGTGTGTGTGTGTGTGTGTGGTCAAGCCCTTCCATACCATCAGTCTTCCTGTGTGTAGTGACACACTTACTTTTAAACTTTAACTCTCTCTCTGTCAGTTGCTTTCATTCATTTTCAGTTTGAGAAAATATCATATGGATTTTTTTTTTCTTCAGCAGCTGGAAACATCTGGATGAGACGTCACAGAGTCTCTGATTGGACCGTTTTCAACAGGAAGGAATAAAAACCAAACAACTGGTTGAAGAACATCTGTAACAGCTGTGGTGATTCAGGTAAATATTTCTTCACAGTGTAACCTGTGAGTGCTGCACCTCACCCGTCTCTCCTCAAGCATGACTGATAACAAGCATGCTGATTTATCTCTCTCTCTCACACACACACACACACACACACACCCACACACACACACACACACACACACCCACACACACACACACACACACACACCCACACACACACACACACACACACACCCACACACACACACACACACACACACCCACACACACACACACACACACACACCCACACACACACACACACACACACACCCACACACACACACACACACACACACCCACACACACACACACACACACACACCCACACACACACACACACACACACACCCACACACACACACACACACACACACCCACACACACACACACACACACACACACACGTCATGTAGAGGCTGACGTTCTGTTGATTTTGAGGTTGGTTCTGGGGTTTTTTTTTGTTTGTTTTTACATCTAAGATTGACGTAATTCCTATGATACCACTAGTTACCAACTTGTTATCAACTAGTCATCAACTAGTTATCAAGGTGAGTGTGTGTGTGTTTGTGTGTGTGTGATTATAGGTGACCCCATTAGCAGCCATTAGTGGAGCAGTTGACAGAACATTCACCTTTTGTTTGGCCTGAAGCCTGAAAGCAGCTGAAACCCCCTCCACCAACACAACTGTGTGTGTGTGTGTGTGTGTGTGTGTGTGTGTGTGTGTGTGTGTGTGTGTGTGTGTGTGTGTGTGTGTGTGTGTGTGTGTGTGTTAAAAGCAGGATGTAGCTGATCTGCTGACCCACATGTTGCCAGATAAGGATCAGAGTGGAAGGAGACAAATACCACACTCTCCAGTGAGAGGATGCACAGGGTGTGTGTGTGTGTGTGTGTGTGTGTGTGTGTGTGTGTGTGTGTGTGTGTGTGTGTGTGTCTCATTCCATTCATTTTCTGTATTAGCTTTGTTCTTTGTGACCATGTTTTCCTCAAATCTAATTCACAGATTCACAGCTGATCGTCTCACAGTCAAAATAAACTTGTTTTTTCCTCCGTCACTCTATTTTATATTTTTCACCGTGTTTATTAAATAATGTCTGTGGATCCAAACTAAGCCTCCTATTCCTCAGTGACACGCACACACACGCGCGCACACACACACACACACACACACACACACACACACACACACACACACACACACACACACACACACAGAAACCAAACGTGGATTCATCTGCCGCTGAAACAGAAGCGTTTGATAAGAACTACAGCAGCTGTTATGAAATAAAAATGAATGGTGGTGTAAAGATTTACATCTTCAGTAGAAACCAAAAATAAAAACACAGTAAAGAATAAGTTGAGTCTTTAAAAGTCAGTGAACTGCTCTGCCAACATGTTCACTGCTGAACAAACACAGTGAGTGACGTGTAGCTGCTCCTTCACTGTCGGAGTGAGCGCAGGCTGCAGGGCCACGACCCGGGGATCGAACCTGCGTCTGCTCAGGAACTTCACTGTGTGGTTTGGAGTCGGTGCGCTGGCGTCCCTGAAGCTCAACACGCTGTAACTGAAGAAAACATCTTCGGCTCATTAACACAACAGGAAGTGTTTCCAGGGGACACTAAAAAGTGATGACCCCGGCTGGGACTTGTTGTTGATGCCCTGTTGTGTCTTTTGAAGTTTAAAGCTTTCAGGCACAAGTGTGTTTTTGCAGCGCATGTGTTTGTGAGGCTGCAGGCTTTGACCTGCTGATGGTGATGCGTTCAGGGACCGGTGCAACTCATCCGACAGTCTTCAGGAATCCAGACCTTTGGGAGATGTTGAGATATTAATTACAGCCAGCAGCTGGAAACATCATGAAAATATGGATCCAAATTTATGAGAATCCATTGATCAGAGGTGAAAACGATGATCCTCTGGGGACCACGAACGCCTCCACAAAGTTTCAGTTTGTTTCATAATCATATTTTTTACCTTTACCCTGAAAAGATCGTATTAATAAATAAACATCAGAATAAAGGACAAAAGTTAATGGACAAAAATTAGTAGAGCCGTCGCCTCATTGGTTGATCCCACATGACAACAGGTGATGACACGCGTCTGTTGACGTCCAATCAGTGACCGAGCTGAACCCGTTCACCTCCACTTCTATTGTCCC